GCCAATTAACCTTTGAATGCCATGCGTGGCCACGTAGCCCTTGGTGCATTGTGTACAGAGCTCATTGTACAGTGAGCACGGGTTGCTGCATGTGTGTGTGTGTGTGTCTGCAGGGGCCGAAAGATAAAATAATTACCCAGACGCATAACTCGAAAGTAAAATATAAAATTTAATTTATGCGCGCACAGAGCGAAAAAGACAGCCAATTTGCAGAGTGGCAGAGGCAAAGCGAGAGCGAGAGAGAGGGGGAGAGTGAGAGCGAGAGGGATGTAGAGAGAGCGAAGGGGGCACGGTCAGTGCAATTTATCTCACGCGGCTTTTTGTATAACCGACAAACAGAAACTGAGCATCTTCCTTTGCTCCACTTCACTCTGTGCAACTCGCTCACTCCCTCTGCCCTCCTCCCCTCAGCTCCCCCCCCCCCACACTTTTAGTCAGCCCTAAATATGAAATAATTTATGACGCGACATTTTCATCAGCAATTCGTTAAAATTCATGCATATATGCATTTTAAAGCAGCTCGACTTTTGCCGCGACTGCCCCTCGTCCTGCTGCAGCCCCTGCAGCCACTCCTTGGCGCTATTTTATAAATTTATTAAGCTGCATGTCGGTGGGGGCAGGGGCTAGGGTAGGTGGGGGCGCACTGTCTGGGGTCTGGCCCTGGGCGTGTGTTGTCGGGCCCAATGAGTGGCAGACAAAGCCAGGCGACGACAACACGAATTGCATGCAAAATTCTTATTTTAATCGATGCAAATATGCAACAACAGCAACAGCCACAGCCACAGCGACAGCCACAGCAACAACACTCGACGACGTTGCTGCTACGCAGTCGGTGTCGGTGGTGCATGCAACAACGGCAGCCACTCCAATTTTATATGATGAACTGGAAGCAAGGCAACCCCTGAGTCTCTTTGTGTGTGTGTGTGGAGGGGCATAAACAGTGAACCCGAACATCGCGATAATAAATCAATTTTTACAATAAACAGTGGCCAGCTGTACGTTGCCCCACCATGCACAGTGGTTGGCAGACAACACAAATATATAATATTATAGTTAATACAGAAAGATGATAATGTGCAAATAAATACTTCAGTTTAATTTTAAAAAATATTTTTTGTTAAATTTAAATTTAATTTTAGATATTTTCGCATTCAAAATAAAACTAAAAAATTTTGATTATTTTTATTCTTTAAGATAAACTAAAATAAAAATTGGATTACTTTTGTGCAGAGCTTGAACCACTGTGCATTTGGTGTGTTAAACAGATCTTAGGGCAAGTGGAGTCTATCTCATACCTTTCCTCGCCGCGGCAGAGCGACATAATAAATTAACTGCCCAGCAATTATTCTCACATTTTCGCAAAGTGAATAAAAATGATGTGGAAAGCATGAAAGAAACGAAGCGAAAAGCACGAAAAATGTCGTTGCTCAGCCCCATAAGTTCGAGTCTCGAAAGTGAGAGCTTACGTAAGGGATTAGCCAGCGTGCCATGGGCGACTGACCCCTGTCACCCAAGCCCTTGCTTGGTCAGAGTGACAGAAAGAGAGAGAGAGAAAGAGAGAGAGAGGGTTGGAGATGGAGTCAAAGCGAAACCTTTCCCAAGCCCGAAACCAATTGCAATGCAATCCGACCATTTGTTTCTGCTGCAGTTAATCAAAATATCAAATTAACTGTCGTGTCTGTGGCAAATAAATCAAAACAAAGCCAGCTCAACTCTAGGCAGCCCTCACTCCCAGCCACATGCTGCGCCTCCTTCCAGCTTGAAGCGCGCTTATGAAAATTTCATGTGCGCCTCTGCGCTCGCTTGGACGATGAAGGCTGAGTTGAATTCATAATAGGCGCAGAGGCTTACGCGATTTTATGAATGAGCTTTGCTAGAGAATGAGAGTGGGAGAGGGAGAATGAGAATGAAAGAATAGGCAGAAGCATGTGTGTATGCGTGTGCGCGAGTGTGTGTTGTGTTTTGCTTTATTGCGTAGTGTGGTGGGTATAGTCAACGCCTTTAATGGTGATTATTCACTGTCAAAACTTAATGTCCCCAAATTGCAGTTGTCGGCAGCGGCGAGCCATGAAATTGAATGCTGCCCATTGGGCGGCAGGCGGCAGGCGGCAATAGACCAGGGAACAGAAATACCGTGAGTGAGCGAGATGGAGAGAGCAGCAGCTGTTGCATAGTTTTAGGCGCGACACGTTGACTGCTTTGCAAATAACACGACAAGCCAAATGCAGCTGGCAATCCAACATGAATTGAAGTCCAAATTCAACTCATTCGCCGGCAGCTGCACTGTGCAAGTCAAAGAGCGAGAGAGTGAGAGGGCGAGCGAGGTAAGGGCAGACGAAGCTTGTTACCATAAAATTGGTGGAAACGAATTGCAGTCATCGTCGCTGTTGCTGTCGCTGTCGCCGTCGCCGTCGCCGTCTCTGTCGCCGCTCTGGCGGCCGCATTGCAAACTCATCAGAAGGGGCGAAGAACTCGCGTCATTGTAAAATGTCTGTAATTTGGACAATTTGATGAATGGTTATTTGCCACGAGATGGCAAAGTGGTCATTATTCTTTATCACTCCACTCGTTGCCCTCTTGTTTTTTGTTTCATTTTCGAGCTTTCTGCTGTTGTTGTTGTCGCTGCATCGTTTTACTTACTTTACATTGCACATTTCGAAGCTCGCTTCAAGCACATTTGTTTTTTCTTCTTTCTTCCAGTTTTTTTTCCAGTTAACTATAATGAAGGGCATAATGAGAATGTCATCAAGTTCGAAAAAAAGCTCAAAGGAAGTTGCACAGTTGCTTTATCATTTCCTATGCTTACGACTTAGCAGCTCAATTTTGTTTCGTGGAATAAGCAGAATCATAAATATATATATATATATTAATATACACTATATACTATATATATGGTGCAAAGTCTTTTGAGCATAAAAAACAAACCCCAAACGTTGACCACATAAGAGTGATACTACTTCCGATAACTATACTTCGGTCTCTGCTTAAGTTATCGCTAACATTTAGCTGTTGAACTAATAAATATTATTTACATAATCGTTTCACACTTACTGAACATGAGCAAATAATCCAAAATTATTACCAAAATTTCGAAGTTGGCTGAAATCACGAAATTGAATAATTTGAGCTTGAGTCAATTTTTTGCTAGTTAAAGTAAGTAGCAGCTATAGCAATCAGTATTGAAGCACATCCAGATCGGCACCGACTTAACTCGGAATATTTTAATTCATCAAACATTTCACCTGAATCACAGCCAATAAAGCCGAGGTGTTTTAAATAATTTCACACAGATGTCGCTTAAAAATAACACCTAAGACTAATATCCTAAGCAGTTGAGTTTCTTATAGAACTTATATGGTCATCCAATCTCATACACTGTACCATAATACTTATTGGAATTTTGAGATGGATGATCTAAACATGTTCTATTAATTAATTTATTTTCGACTTAAATTCTATTAGCCTTAGCCTATGCGCGCAGCGTCCAATATTATTCAACATTATGAGACAGGCAGAAATATGGTCAGGTTTCGATGTTGTTGAAGCTGATATATTAAATATGTAAATTTAAATCTTCCTATAAATTTCCGAATATATACCTAACACTAAAATAGAGTTAAAAACAAAAATGTTATTTGCCTTTAATTTTCTCTAATTTAGAGCCCATTTAAAATGGATTAAACTAAACTTGAGCAAAGTTCGAATTCTTAACTTTCTTTAACGCTTAACTAAGGCAATTCCGCTCTATCAAGTGTATCCAATATTTTCCTCTCATGTTTAAAAATGATGGAGCATTTGGAATTGCCAAATTGGGAACAAAAATCTGAAAATTTTAAAACTGTTAGCTTAGAGAAATATTATTGAATAGTTAAATAAATTAAAATAAATTAAATATATTCAATTGGTAGAGCATTCTGCAATTCGATCAAATGCAGTTTGCTTGCTTTATGAACTAATAAATTGCATCTACTCTCCCCCTTTCTGTTTCTGGATGCAGTAGGCGCTCCAGGGGGAGCGGAACTCAGCTGGCCGAAACTTAATATTGTCATTATGTGAAGCAGGGCAACGTTATCGCGCAGTTGAATTGCAGGCAGCAGCGTTAAGGAACGCAGCAGCAATTGGTTTGGCCGCACAGGCAGTTGGCCCGCAGCTGAAGCCATCTGTTAACTGAGCTGCCAGCCCGTTCTGCGCCGCCTCCTGGTGCGTCGTCTCCTCCTTAGCAATGCGTTCCACTTGGCGGCAGGCCTAATTACACTAGCCAGAATAACAAATGCTGAATTGTGAATAGCGTGATTAGCCCAAGTTGGCCAACTTGGCCACAGCAATGGCCAGCTACATAGCCTCTCGGCCTGCGCCGTTGCTCAAGTGCGTATCGAATAGATTTATGTGCTCGTATATCATACGCGTAATTTCTGTAGGCAAACCAAACTTCCACGGCCTGTAGCAATGGCTGAAACACTTGCTGAGCTCAATGCTTCCCGAATTCTATTGCTACTCTCTCAGCCTCTCTTTCTCCGTCTCCCTCTGCCTTTCTCACACTTTTGTTGTGCGTGACCAAAGCTTTGCTTGCTATAAATGTTTTTCAAACACTACGAAGCTCAAATTATAGAATGGAATTATCCGAATACGTTAAGTTCTGCACACATCAGACATTTTCAATTTATTTACTGACTATTATTTAACTGGCTGCTTCATTTACAAATTAAGTCATCAACAATGACATAGCCTGAAGCAAATCTGGCTTATTTACAATGTGATCAGAACGATGAGCTTAGTTGAGCTGCCAAGAGCGTCCGTCCGTCCGTCCGTCCGTAAGTTCACTTGTGCACATCCGTATGAACTTAGTGGTTTCTTTAACATATTATATATTTCTTTCAATTCTTATTTTTAAACGATAACAAACAGTGTGCTGCAGAGCACACTGATGGATAGATGGAGCGACAGACCTGGTCAAAGTAGCAAATGAGCAACAGCAAAGATACAAGGATAAGAGTCTCTGGCTTCGCCGAAAATATTTTTATTTAAAAGTGGCGCAGAAGCATGGATAACAATGCTCAGCTATATCACATAGATGGGCTGGTTCCAAGGCCGAGTGCACAGTGCCTTTCTGGCTAACATAACATATTTTGATCTAGCTCAAAACAACAGAAAAAAATATTTCTTTAGTATAATATGAATGCGTACGATGAAAGCCAATGACACCAGTTTTATTGTTTGGGCTGCCTTCACTAAATTTCAATTAAAGAGTGCGAGTCTAGAATGAAGTTAGAATACTTGAAGTTAGACAGAACAGATAGCCTAGTCGGCCAGTTATCTACACACAATAAGTTTGAGCTTACCTTTGATAACTAATAATTCAATGGCTGGCTGTGGGGCTACATTTGTTAGATATAATAATCGCAGTTTTATTTCAAGTTTCACTCATTTGACAATGCATACATGAATAAGCTTAGACATCATATTCTCGAGGTCTGATCATCATTTGAACAAATTGAAGTGAATCACTGTTCCACGCGTTCCAATTAACTCCGTTGTTACTAGCATCATTTATCGTTCGGTAAATTCCATTGAGATTGCTATAGTTAAAAAATTAATAATTTAATAAAATAAGTTTTTTTTAAATCGTCATTTAAATACCAATGGTAGCAACTGTGGAACCACCAACCAGAGCTAAACTCTTCTGCGCAATGTTTATTTGAATTATCGTTATCCTCATCAGAAGTTGAGAATTGCATATTGAGGTGGAAATTCAAAGCATCAGTTGCATTTCCAGAATAGCTTCCCAATGATTTTAATTTATAGTTTTCCGTCTCTCCGCCAATGAAAAAATGATTATAACGTGCATATCCAACGTTATTATTAAAGGCTTGTAGATAAATGTATAGCTCGTGTCCCTGAGACTTCGTCAATAAGTGAAGCTTATCGAGGCCAATAAAAAATTCCCCGTTCAAATTTCCGAAACCCGATCTATAGTCATTCATACTGCGATTGAAGTTCTCAGAGCCATCTTGACGACGCTGAATAACTGTCCAGCCGGAATCAACCAGACTCGAATCACAGGCCACCTCGAAGGGATTCGAACCAGGGACTTTTATTTCGATTGTCTCAGTCAATTTGCCTATGTAACTTGAGGGCAAACTTTGTTTGACTTCTATTTCCCTTTCAGACAACCTTTTTTCGAGATCTTTGATTTTAGCCGCATTTGCCATCTCTTGAGACTTAAGGTTCAATAATTCGAAATCTTTTTTCTTTAGCTCCATATTAAGTCGATTTTCATTTATCTCATTCATATTAGCCTGATTGGAGGCCAATAATTCCTCCTTAGTCAAGCAATATTTTCTCTGTCCATTGCATAAGTCCAGTTGATTTTCGGGGGACTTGAGCTGGTCTTCCTTATACTTCATGGAGGCAGCATACTGCAGGACGGGTTTTACTAAGCCATAGCAGTAGCCCGCACATTCCAGGTCCATATTTATGGAGGCAGTAATATCCTACAGTACAAAGATTATGCTCACAGTTCCAGTTCACACTCAAGAGTTACACTTACGCTACTCTTAGCCAGCTCGCTCATAACGCCTAACAGGAAGAGCGATGGCAGTAGCAGTCGATACACATACATTTCGAATATTAAGATTGATTAACCCGCACTCTAAGCTGAATTATTTCAAACTGAATTAAGCTGAAGCTTCAGCAATATAATGAAGCCCTCATATCTAAGGCTGGGCAATTTCTTATCAAAACCTCTGTTCATATGACTCACTTGCGCTTTATAATTATACTCGCCGACAAGTTAAAAGAGTTTATTGGTTCGTATTGTGGTTCTGGCTGCTCGTCCGTCTATCAGTTATATTACTATAGATCTATGGAGCATATCATATACACCTAACGTGACCCGCCCATTGGGCTGTGGCACGTCTAAAACATCGATCGCTGAAGAAATTGTTGTACCGTGATAGAGTATCACACAGTCGGTTACGACGCACTGACTTTGTTCCACTGGATTATATAGGAAACGAGTATATTGGCTTTCTATTATACCCGTCTTGCTGTTCGCCCGTCTGTCTCAAGCATTTGTAACAAGAGACTTGAAATTTGGAAAATGTACTCGTTGGTACCATCATCAGAGAATCGATAAGCTTTACAGATCTCCTTCCCAGACAGACCTAAAAATGATGTATACATTTTGCTTTTTTCGTACCGTGAACGAGTATCATGCCGTCGGTTGCAGACTTGCTACTTGTTTTCACATTATATCAGTCAAATATTTTACTTTGCTGTAGTCAAGTTTGGTTACATCCTACAATTTGTGAAGCAAGAACATGAAAAAATATTTTCTTTTCTATATATAATATGTGCGTGATCTGCACGTATCAGCAGACTTCAGCTTGGATACGAATTTTCCATTTATATTGCTATTTGTAGACGGAGAACTCAACACTTTCAGACTTTGCTGAAGGCAATGAAAAGAATTAAGAATCAGAAATGTCTCTGTGTGTGTGTGTGTATGTGTGGAAGTAAAAGATATTTTGCAATTTTGACTATTTCACTATTTTGCTCTGCTCATCTATTTATTTCATTAAAATAATATATTAATATATACTAAGTATAAGTTATTATAGAGTATCGAATCGATGAGCTCTCATATGTATGTAGATATATATATATATATATATATATATATATATATATATATATATATATATATATATATATATAAATATGTAACTTAAAGATAAACTAACTTGATTTAAGCTAGAAAGAAACAGAATCATTAAATGTGTACGCAAATTTGAGCTCCAAATTAAATAATTAAATTGTATAATTTAGAATTTTGAGTGAATCTGTGAGAGTGTATCTATTAGTTTTGTTAATTAATTTTCCTAAATTTATTCAATTCTACTTTATAGCAAGCTCTTGGTCACTGGCTTGTGCTAATACTATAGCTAAAATGAATTCATATGAATTGTGCTTAGAAGATATTCGAATATGATTTGCTTCTGCTCAGAACTACATTACCGTTTCAGCTGATACTTGCTATATTTAATTTTATAATTAATTTTATAATTATAAACTAATATTATCTCACTCATAAGTAAGAACATTCTATGAATAGATGTTTTAAGCATGAACAATACACACTTGAGCCTTAAACACCCAACACTGGCTGCATATAGGGTATGTGCAACTGCTGAAGCCACGCTTTAATTGTATTTGAAGATAATGGTAAAATAAAACAAGCTTCAAATAATTGATCAAATAAATGATTTGGTATTGATTTGAAACGATAATAACTTGGTTTTATTCTGCAGTGCAATGCACTTGAAGTTTTGAATAACTCTCTCTAGTAAAGTCCGATCAAGGAATTTGACATTGACAACTAATGCTTCATCATGTAATCAGTATAGTCAAGTATATGAAAGATGAAAGCAGTCTGGAAAACCTTAAAGCGTTGTTTTGATAAGGACTATAAGCTGGGTCCATGCCGTTGGTCAGACTGTGGTAAGTCATCTATTCAGATAACGCCAGAAACTATTAACGAGTAACTGGAAATATATGTATTGTTTTTAACTTCAATCCGAACAAATTTATCATTTTTATTTGATATCTGAATGCAATTTCCTTGTAATGAGAAATAAAAATCTTTTGGGGTACTGAACGAGTATATTTGGATACTTGTCATGAAAATATCAATAACTCCGAGTATTCTTCCTTTTCCTCTTAGAATTTTAAGTAGTTGAGACCCCGGAAATAAATAAAATATATAAACAATTTAACGTCATATTCGAGCATTGCATATTATAGAATTTTCGAAAGCTTGACGCTGGATTTCGGGTATTTCCTAGTCGGGTATTTCCTAGTCTCTTGTTATTTAATTCTGTTCGAGCTTTGCAAAATGAGGCCTGAAGACATTTGGCTTGGATGCTAATATTAATGGAGGAATATTGTGCCATTATATAAAAAACAATTTAGACTAACACAATTTTTCAAGGGACTTTCATTTTCTAAGAGTTAAATACATATTTGGATAGGGTTGATTTTGTTTAAAGTAGACGTGGCAACTTTCTTCTATAAGGGTAACTCTGTAAGCTCGTGTACCCAGTCAGTTGCCAAAGTTCAAAGTTAATTGATAATTAGCGGTAATTAGCCACATTTGAACTTGATCTCTTGGTCTTCTGGAATTTGCCACCTCCTTGAAGTTAGACAACAAGTTGCGTCAGGTTTCGATTGCAATTTTAATCAATCAAGCGAGGTGCAGCCAACAAACTTGGCCACGTCAAAAGGTTAATAGGCACACACACAGACACACGCACACATAACGGCAAATGGAAACAGGGCACACAAAGCGTTGACGCGTTCCGACAAAAAAGTTACCTGCATTACAATCGAGGCAAAAGGCGATTTAATTGAGGCACTTCCACAGCTGAGAGTGGTTAATGGCATGCAGAGTCAAACTGAAATTGTTCGAAGGCCGACAAATGTTTTCACAGCCAATTTATCATTTATTTGCAACTGCAACTGCAACTGCGTTGCCCATGCATTAATCATATGACTTGTTGACAGCATGTCAACGCGCCGGCCATTGGTCAGCACTTCCAGTCATCGCCCAGCCCCAGCCCGAAAACTCACACATTCAGAGCAACAGCAGAGCACCTAGTTGCAGCCAAAATATCAGACAATATCCCATAGCAGAAATGGAGCTCAATAAATTTTTCACCAACAATTTCCATTACTTGCACAACTCGTTTGAGTTACAATTCGATAAGCCCTTAGTGCAACGAAATTTAATTCAGATTTATAAAAACTTTCAGCTAAGAGAGAACCGCTCAAATAGCAAAAGTTATCGAACGATAAATGTGGAGAAATTATCGACTACTTTTTTTATGTGTATAGCAGGTATAGCAAGTCATAGCTCAATCGTATAAGCTCGCAACTCACTGGCTCATACATGTGGACAGACAGACAGACCCTCAAAGCTCAGTACGGTCAACAGCTGAAGAATGTGCAGACCTTAAGAAGCTTACTATATCTTCGTTTGCCGCTTACATACTGTTGCTGCTGACTGGAGTATGATTGATGAGTAAATCTAAAGTCCCCATTATTAACGTTATTCAAGCTACGCTTAAACAGAAAGCCAAATTATCGATTTTTGTCAATAATAAGGAAACACGAGTATTTCGATTTCAATTTCAGTCTGTAGTTTTTGTTGTTGCCGGAATTGTTGCATTAATAGAACGGAAAGACAGACGGACTTGTGTAGATTGCCTGAGTTCGTCGTCCTAATCAAAATATGTATACTATATGAGATCTGCCAAAACTTCTTCTGCCTTCACAAATCTTTATACTCCATTTATAGGCTTAGGCAAGTATGATATAATAGGTAAGAATGGTTTAGTCTGCAGACATATGAATACTCTGCAGTCGATGTCGCTCAACTATAGTTCGAACTTTATTTGATATATATTGCCAAATAACTAACACATCCGATCGACTTCCAGGATCTCATACAGCTACAGATATAACTTTTGGCTGTTCTCAAATGTCAATCATCAAAATTGTTTTTCAATTTTCCGTATTCGAGTTCGAACCACAGCATAAAATAATTATTGCTTCGGCTTGATCATAATTTGAACAAATTTAAGAGATTCATATTTCCACACGCTCCAAGCAACGCCATCGGCATATGCAGGACGATCCTCGGCTTTGTATACTCCATTTAGATTACTATAGTTTGAAAGAAAATGCAGAACATTTTGTAAATTAATTTAAAGTTTTATTTACTTACCTGAGACCGCAGTTGTTGAACCACCAACCAGAATTTGCCAACCCTGCGCAATTTGCAGTCCACCAGTTGTCGTTATCCACATCGGGTGTTGAGAATCCCATATTGAGACTATCAGCCAATCCATTGCCTGCATTTCCGGAAAAGGCTCCCAATAATAGTATCTTAAAGTCTTGCTGCTCTCCGCCAATAAGAAATTGATTATAACGTGCATTTCCCACTTCTTTATTGTCAGTCTCCATATAAATGTACAGCTCGTGTCTCTGGGACTTCGTCAATAAGTGAAGCTTATCGAGGCCAATAAAAAATTCCCCATCCAATTTTCCGAAACCCGATCTATAGTCATTCATACTGCGATTGAAGTTCTCAGAGCCATCTTGACGACGCTGAATAACTGTCCAGCCGGAATCAACCAGACTCGAATCACAGGCCACCTCAAATGGATCCGAACCAGGAACATGTATTTGGAATATGCCAGTTATTTTGCCTATGCAACTGGAGGATAAAGGTCCTTTGACTTCTACTTCCCTTTCAGACAACCTTTTTTCAAGCTCTTTAATTTTGATCTCATTTTTAATGTCTTGTGATTTTAGAGTCAATATTTCCGAATCTTTCTTCCGAAAGTCTTCGCTACATTGATCTTTGCTCTTCTTTCCGAGAGCTATTAGATCCTGGATGTTATTCACAAGGGTTTGCTTATTTACAAACAAATCGGCGTTGGTCAAACAATACTTTGCATGCGAATTGCTTGCCTCCAATTGACTTTCTAAAGTCTTTATTATCGCTTCGCGGCTTTGGATCTTGGCAGTCAGTTCGTTGAACTGAATTTCCTTCGACCGAACAGAGGCAGCATACTGCAGAAGAGGTTTAACTATGGTGTAGCAGTGCGCCCCACACAGCTCATCCATCCTCTTCGATACAGTGCAGTGCTGAAATGTAAAGCTCATGCGAACAATGACAGATCACACCCACACACACACATGTACCGTACTTACATCATTCTCACTTATTACCCCTGGCAGGGGTAGCAATAAAACAAGCAATAGCTTTCGAAATATATACATTTGATATGATAGGTCAACGACTTATTGGCAATACTCCGTTGAAACAAATGCAAACTGAACACAGTTGAAACATTCGCTGCATACTGAAAACGCGCGGCAAAGATGAGCTTTGATAGAGTCTACGCTAGGCATGTATACGCCATGCATTGCTATTATCAACGACATTTATATAGGCCAGCGAAAGGCAGATTAAAGAGCTCTTCTACTGCGCTATATAATCGGCTGGTGAAGGCAGGTGAAGTGCAATGTGGAAAGGCAACTGATTTGTAAATTAAATGTTTCAGAGCTGAGTGGCATATAGGAATTATTATAATAATTAAAGACGTATAATACTTACTGATCCTAATGGAAACAACTTTGCAGGTCTTTATTTTTTCAAATTTTCATCAAAGTTATCTTGCAAACCTATCTTGGCTGCGGATTCGGCTTTCCTCTTGTCTACGCCCACTTTTATAAAACCTATGTGAAATAAGTAATACAAATAATTTAATTGTAAACACTAAGTAAGCATAGTAGTGCGAGCTTATCAGTTTTCGCTTCAATAACTCAGTCCGTGTCCTTATGCAATAATTATCGATACACTGATTTAACTTTCGAGACATATTTTAAAGACAATTAACTAAGTCTCCATAGAAGAACTTTACAAAATATATCAGCGCTGCACAAGACTTACGGCATATTCAAGTTAACGAACTTTTACTTTTTGAATTATTTTCTAATTATATATCTTATATTCAGGGCGGATTTCGCTAATAAACTGAAAAGATTTCAATTTCTGCTTTGCATTGTTTAGATAAGAAAAAGCAGAGTAAAGTTATTTAACGCGTGCAGGGTCTAGCTGCAGTTGCAAAGTTAGATTTTACTCTACTTTAGTGTATTAAGTTTACTTCACAATAAAAATGAAAAAATAAAAAAGAGTGAGAGTGAGAGAGAGAGAGAGAGGGGGAGAGAGTATATAATAAGGTCATCAATCTCAAGCATTACTCTTTATTATTTTGGTGCTCTGACAGCGCAGACTCTTCACGGTTCGCGGCACAGCGGAAGAGTTACAATTTGCAAAAGATTTGACGCTATCCAAAGCTAACATCATTAATTAATGGCCTTTACTGTGGGTAGCCGTGTGGCAGCAGCTTATTGTGATAATCCATTATCATTTTGTATCGGCATCGGGACAGCATCAATAGCCAAGCAAATTGGCGACTGCAAGTGACTTGCACAGCTCCATAAGCAGTTCGCATTCCTGCGACATTTTTCACAATTTCTCACATGTTCCCAGCAGCTGAGCCAGGCGTCTCGGAGCTAGCGTCATTTATAAATAAGTGTTTCCGCTGGACAAAGGAAAGGAGGCTACAGCTACCGATACACGTTCGCCCGTCTATGCCTACCTCCGTCCGTTCGTCCGTCTGCCAGGCTGTCAGTGGCTTCGGCGTGATGAGATTTTTTTGATTGATGTCGAGTGCCACGTTTGCTTTGACTCTTAAATTTTTATAAATTATCATTTTCCATCGCTGCAGCCAGCAGACATATTTTTCATGTCAGGCTCGGCAATTGATTGATGAAAATGCGAGGCGTGTTCCACAAAAGCGAAATAATAATATTAATAATGATATATCTATGCAAATTACGTACACGAATTATTAGTTTCATGTTGTTCGAACGACCAACAGCATTCAGTCTCCGATGAATTTTATATTAATTTGCCAATCATTTATCATTTCCATCGCAAGCGTGGGCCTCTGCTCGCTGCTCTGTTGGCTTGCGTTCCAAATACTAAATAATCCAGCTACGTTTTACTTACCCAAATTAGTTATGGAGCAATCCAAATTAACAAAAAATGATACAAGCAAACATATCTCAATGAATACTGAGAGAGAATATACGAATTCACTCTGGCGAATTAAAGGTAAAATACTCTTATGAAAAATCTGAGATATTTTACTGAATTATTTTTATTTTTACTGAATTATTATTTATTAATATCATAAATAATAAAAATTATTATTAATATTATAAAATAAAAATATTATTATTATTATTACTATTATTATTATTATTATTATTATTATTATGATTATTATTATTATTATTATTATTAGTGTGTATTAATTATATATAAATTTATTTCTTTTGCTATTAGCCTGCATTACTCGAATTAAGTTTTTTCTTGGAATTTTCACTCAATTTTTTTTAATTTTTACTTTTCAAACTTGTTCATGGCCTGAGCATTATTTTATAAATTATATTTTCTGTCATTCCATTTGGTAATCTGAAAAGTTGATAATAGATTACAATTTTGCTATTTGCAGATCGTCAACGCGTGCTATCACCGATGACAATGTTCATTTTGAGAAATTTATTCTTTATTTATAACAAGTCAGAGTCGAGTTGGCACGACTAGGAGATACTCTGAACCCTTTTTTATACAAATTAGGAGACCTAATTATCGAATAACTCTGTGGACTTTCAGTCCGCTTGATTTGCCAAAGTATTTGAAGTTCGTTTTTTGTGAATTTGCGAGCAATTGGCGAGGTATTAAAATCTAAAATATACAAAATCTTTGATTCATTACAGGAACCTACACAGTATCTGAATTTGCGGTATTCAAGCAATGCTTAAAAAACCTAGTGAGTTGATCGATTTTAATCGAAAATAAAAAATGGGATCAGTCATCGAAAAAATATGATTGACTCCTACTGCACATGGTAAACATTTCAAATTTGAAGTCTGTAGTTTCTGTGATTTACGGAAAGACAGACGGACATCAAGTATATATCTACTTTGCGGGTGATGTACATAAAAGTTAAACTTTAAGCCAAGTTTTTTGTGGCGTGAGCTAATTCGAACAGCCCAAAAGCCAAAGAATATAAATCTATTTTCAAATTAACAATATCTCCTAGATATCTGAAGCATATATTCTATAGCAAACATTTCATGCTTTGATCACAAATTGCTACCTCCGAGGCCCAGTGTAAATTGAGCATTAAAGTGAAGCTTACCCCAGCTGCTAGCTTACTCCCACGAAGACAACTAGAGTTGGTACAATAGTCAATACTTTAGTAAAAGTTATCAGTTAAGTCTGCCTCGCATGTAAACATACGCAACATTATTCCTCTATGGAGAAAATCAGCTTAGCAGAGGTTCATTTGAACTCGGTTAAACATTTCCTCGAGTTATTTAGGCGCTTTGCGGTAGTCAGCTTATAAATTGATTTAGCTATTTTGGCCAGGAGGCTTGCTGTGTCGAGGAGCGACGACATTCCTTGGAGTGAATCTGTGTGAATTTCAACAACTTCATTTTGCGGTCAAGAGAAATGCCAACCACTTCGAATTGAGACGGGTCAAAGGCAAAAACAATGATGGAATCAGAGTTATGTCTGTGTACTTAAACTTGCCAACTCGCAGGTTCCCTGTATTCCCGCCCTGTGGCTTGGGGGCAATAAAACTATTTACAGTTCAATTTGCCATAATATTTGCAGTTAAGACCACAAACGACAAATATGCCGGCAGCAACAACCGCAGACTTTGCAGAAAACCAAAGCCGAGTCTCGAAGCCAGACGGCAACAACTTTTTAGAATGCGTTGGCGCATTCTACGGGAATCAAAGTTTATAGACACACACACACACTCACACAGGCAGAACCAGGGCAGCGTATCTGACAATCTACAGACAATAATCCAGTGTATAGCAAAAGGACCACTCGACACTTTCCGTATCACAGACCAACAATAACAACAACTGGCAAGTTATGCAACCAATTTACATACAAAAACAACTCAATAAACGTGTGAAATGCTAACGATTTGTAAAAGTTGCGTCCACACACACACACACACACACCCAGAGAGAGAGTGAGCTCCTGTGGCATGTGTGTGAATCTGTTATTGGCTTGATTCGAGGATTAGGTGGGGCAGCTGCCCAAGCAATTTAGCAAAGTATTTCCTCGCCGCCCCTAAAAAGTTGGCCACTTTTTGCAACACTTCCTCCTCGCGCCTGCCCAGCTGCTTGCCACACTCGTAAACCATGGGCTTATTTCTGTAACCGTGCCCGACCATGAAACGGAAATTGTGCATGAAATTTGTCCCCGCGATCTCCTCTAGCATTCATTCAACAACGGCAACGGCAACATCAACGGCAACGGCTACGGCGAAAATCTAACTCGATTATTATAATATTCAACTATATAATCCAATGAAAAACTTTCCTAATAAGCTGCTAGTTGAGTGCTCCACTTACAAGTTGACGCTGCCATTCGAGTACACTCACTTCCGTTGTTGTTATGAACCGCAACGACACGACCTCAACTGAGGGACCAGTCCTGGCACAATGGATGTCTGGAGTCAATTTAATGGAGTTGCAAGACAAACTTCTGTAATTGAAACTTGGATGTATGCATAAGCATATTCTGTAAATTAAATATATATAATGTATATAATTATAGTTAACATCTATTATCTATATAACATTACCTAAGGACTAATCTGCGACTCAGCCAAATACATTCGGTATATCTAAATAGAAGTTTTATTTGAAATAATATATTTTCATTTATTTAATAATATATTGTCAACAAGACTAACGAAACATTTTGCATTCTTTTCGGAAAGTTTTTAAAGTGTGGTAATAAATGCATCGACATAAAAAAGTGCAGTGAGTCCATCTATAAAGCTAAGTTTAGCTGATATAAAGCAATGAAACAGAATTTTTCCAATTTGTGCGCAATCCAATATACATAATGTTTCGATCACAATATATCAACAGAAATCAACTTTTAAAATGAGCTAATTTGGAAGATAGCTCCTCACATTTAGGCATAAAACGACAAAACTTGTTAAGCTAATACATAT